TCTTAGATAAGCCTGGCAATTCGTTCCTCCCAGTTAGAGGTCTGAAGAAAGTGTGCAAGTGTAGATAAATCCAGCTTGGTTGATCATCACTGAAACACAGCAAAAATTAAAATACATTTTATGCTTGCAAAGTAGAGAAAAGCAATAAAAACAATGCCAGACGGTTAATGCCTCTCTTGTACCTTTCATTTCAAAGACCTCAAAAGAACATCAAGAAGAATAAAGGCACAATCTATTCCCCATTGGCATCATTATAAATGTTGTATCCTCTAAAACTCTAAAGACGTCCAAGAAGAGTGGAAGGATAAATGGCACTGAAATAAAGAAAGTCTCTCTGGAGCTTTGTTCAATCAGCTTTGTTAGAATTCATTCAAATAAGATGATTATAAGAAAAGATCTCATTTGTTTCAACATTAAAGGAGCAAATTAATATGTGGCAAGCTGCTAATAATTGCCTCATTATGTAGCGAATGGGCATTGCGTCCGATTTACAAAATTACAATCACAAAGTAACAATTGGGAAAGTTTAATCTGAATTTCCTAACTATCTGTATGATTAGTTGTGGGATTTACAGAGCAAAACAGAGTTAGTGGTTGGACTGAGCTCTCCAGAGCACCACCAGCCTATAGCTCTAAGAAGTCACAAGAGAAATTCAGCTTTTCATCAGTGTAAATTACATCTGCTTAAGTCCTGAGCCAGGTTTGGTCCAACTGAAGAGTGAATTTGCCAGTCTATGCTAAGATAGGAGCTTAGCCTGTGACTGGTATGTCAAGACATGGTTTTGTTGGACTACACTGACTTGTTGTGGTTTAAGCCACTGAACCCAGAACACTTGTGCTGAAGTCTTAGCCAAGAGGTTAATAGAATGATGTAAGATCATCTCCTCTTGGGACTTCAGCAGACCCACAGGTCTCTGGTTGGGAAACTTGGCAATCTGTTCTCTAGGAAACCTGAGCCACTGGGAAACCCACTCGTATGCACGGTCCTGTAACTGGAATTTCAGTCTTTTGGTGGAGACAATTGATGTGGTGGAGGAGTTGTGTCAGACTGTAAAGTAACCAGTTTTCCAAACATATAAACCCTCTGTTGGAGAGAATCATGTTTTGTGACCTATTTCTGGTTAGATTTGCTTGTGACCTTTTCTAATTCTGACTGGTTTTGTTATTTAATGATTTGACCTTTGATTCTGTGAAGTCACTTCAGTGCTAAATGCAAAGATTTAATAACTAGAACTGTTTGATAAGTGACCTTTATTACACAGCTATTTCTCTTTGGTAGAGAGACAGCACTGTTTTGCAAGTTCTAATTCACAACTTTAATTATCTTTTCTATTGTCTATAAGCTTGCACAGGAAATGGAAAGGTCAGACATTTCATTTTCTTTACTGATTAAAATATAAGTGCTCCTCAACAATTACAATGTATCATTGAGGAAAAAGATGAGACAATTTGTCAGAATCATGCCCAGCTGCTCTGCTGAGGGCTTCTACACCCTTCTGGCCAGAGACAAAATGAGTAATTTTCTAGAAGCAATAACAGCTTAGCCCTGGTGGTGTGTAGAGGTGAAATACATGTCTAAATACATGAAAAAGGAGACGAGGTGAAGGGTTCTTTACATTTTTTTCTTTAGCTCATATATCTACAGCGCAAGTGAATTAAGATCTTGTGAAGGTGTTGTGGTTTAAGCCCAGCCGGTAACTCAGAACCACGCAGCCGCTTGCTAACTCCCCTCTCCCTTTTTCCTCCCCATCTCGGTCCAGAGATCATAAATTTGTAACAGCACAGGTTTTTCTGTATGGTCTTGCCAATCTGTATCAATCCCATTGTTGCTGGACCATCTCTACAGAGGGGAGGGCAGCCTGGGCTGCATGGCAGATGTGCTTTTGGCTTCTTTGATAAGGCTCATGTTGTGTTAGTGTCACATCAATTGCTATCCTGGTGTTTGTGGTGTGGACATCTGTAAACAGTTACTGTTAATTACAAAACAGATCACCAAGAAGGCGCATTTTCTCTAATTCTCCAGCTTTCATCTCCCTGTATTACAGTTTCTGTTCTTAAGAATTGTCTCTCTGCTTTCTGTCCATCCTTAATACAAACAGTGCAGCAAGTTAAATGGAAAAGCAGCAGTTTCTCATGCAAGTTAGGGCTATCATGGGCAACCTTACAACCAAAAATCTGCATATGGGATGTATAGAGTATAGAGTGAGGTGAGACAACAGCACATCACTCCAACTCCTCAACAGTCATAGGGAGCTGTCAGCTGTGTCTTAATTCAGCAGCAGAAGCAATAGCCACAACTAAACAGGTGCTTCCCAATTCCAGCCCTTTGGGAACCCAAATCCCTGTGCCTGAATAGCTCCTGTGGGAGCCATCTGGCAGGAGAGCTACATTTGAGCAGCTTTTGAATCTTAACGTGATGGACAGCCATTTCTGAGGTATGGTGTAGTAACAAACAGGAATGTCATGTTAAGTGAGGAAAATGAGAAAGCTGTTGTATGTGGATTACTGAAACTGCCCCTTTTCTCTGTGACACTTATAAACACTTACAAACACCATAAGCTGCCAGCTTGTCTCCATATGGGGGTTCAGTGAATGAATGTTGATGTGTGTTTTCTGATATGTTGAGGAAGATATGATGCAAAAAGGATACTGAAGTCAGTGGATGATTCTGGCACCAGTGGAATGTCTGTCATGGGTGTCAGTCGGTCTTCTAAATCTCTCTGGGATCTCTGTTGGGAAATAAAAGTATTAGGACATGTGCAATTTCTCTACATTGTAAAAGCTATTTTGAGATAGGGCTGGGAGGGGTTAAGCTTCTGCTTCTATTGAAGAAGAGCAGATTATATGTTGACCTAATGCAGGCATTCAATATTATGAAAGTGCTTTATAAATTGGAACAAGATAAATGAATCACAACAAAAGAGTTAGAAAACCAGGGGCCACAATTGCAAGAGTGAGTGTACTCAGTTTATTCAAGCAGAACAGTTACACTCTGTGAATAGAAAATGTGCAATGCATTTCTAACTAGGGTCAGAAAATCAAACAATTCCAAATTTAAGAGATGAGCCCCATTTTAATGAAGAAGGAATATTGTGGGGAGAGAAAAACAAACAAACAAGCAAACAAAACAAGAACAAAACCAAAACCACACAACCAACCCCAAAACCCAAAACAACACCTATGTTGAGACAAATTTAAATGGGACTGGATTCTTGAACAAATTGGCTTTTCCTATCTAGCAGTTTCATATTCAACATTTGTTAGCTTGAAAGTTCACCCTGGAAGGCATAAATTAATCTACTGGGACTTTAACAATTCACTTCATGTTAGGATGTGAGTTATACTTATGGGTTCGCTTAGGTCACACAGCCATGTCCTCATAATGTATCTTAGAGAGGATTTCTGTAACTAAGCAGTAAACAGAAAGACTGTTGTGTTCAGCTGCATCTCCTGGGATTTCATCCTTGCTGTCAGAGAGCTATGCAGGACAGCTTTCTAAACTACAACAGCTATAAAAAAAATACATGGTTCTCTGTAAAGGAGACATTGCTAATGCTTTTGCATGCAGCCAGGCATCTTTAACTTCTGATGAAATGAGGAAAGAACATTTTCATGTTCATAGTTTCATAGAGAAATCAAACCAATCACAGTAGAGAAATCAAACCTTTGCAATGGTGAGATTTATTCAGAAGTCTTTGAGAATGCACCTTAGCTCAGTACAATATTTGCCATAAAAAGATGAAATCTTCTGGCTGTTATAATTTGGCTCTCTTCAGATGTTTATCTCTTATGCTTGCATTGTGTACAATTATCAACGAAATTTGATGTTTTGTCAGCTATTATGTCCTACGGTTATAGTGGTCAAATGTAGCCAGGATATTCATCTGCTACATGCAGTGGGATTTTGAAGGGAAGTAACCACAGGTCTGATAAGAAAAGCACCTAGCACCCTGTCAGATTAAATATCCAAAGGACATGGAGACAATCATTCCTAACAAATGTTAAACTGAAGTCCCTTGGACAAAAGATCAAGTTTGTGACCATACAAAGAATTGTAGATGACCTGTGGACTGGACTGTCTTCTGTAGGTTTGGGGGGGGGGGGGGGGGGGTGGGGGGGAAGAGAGGGGAGTTGGTTGGTTATTTGGGGCCTTTTTAATAGATCTGGTTTTCCTTTGATTTAGATCTCTAACCAAGCTTTTCATACAATTGAACTTAAGGACAGGGCATTTCCTTTTAGTCTTTCGGTACAAAAGAACCAAAGGACATTTACTCTTTATACTCTGACAAACGGAACATTCGGTAGGTCCCTATAACTCTCTTAGACAACTGTTTCTGTTTTCAGGTCTTACTGGAGAAATAGTATCCTAGAACATGGTCAGGAAAGTCTGTCTTCAGTTTGCCCAGCATTAAGTTCCTAGTTTATGTATCACCGTTCCATCTGCCTCTCATTTTTCATAGGTCATAACCGTTGTCTGGAGAGAATAATATATTCTTCTGTCCACATCTCCTTTCCAACTGCAGGATTTTCATACTGCTAGAGTTACATCTCATGGTTGACTTCTACCACGGATTTGGGAACTATTCATTCAGATGCCTCAATACCGTCAGTGTGTAGTTAAATTTCCAGCATTACTTTTTCTCTACTATTGCTGACAACAGCATGCTAAAAGAGAAGAATGCATTGATCTAAATATTGTTTTCTTCTGCTTCTTGCTTTCGTTGTTTACTAGTGGGAAGAGTAAGATTTAAAGAAAAAAAAAAGATAATTTTTCTAGTTGGCTTTGCAAGATGGAGAACAAAGAAAAAGATTTAAACCACCTATTTCACTATAAAGGATTGCATTCAGAGCTCTGTAATTGTAGGAGTTTCTACCAGCTCTATCACATGAGGATTGTTAGCATTCTTAAAGAGAAACATTGCTATCAATCTGGTTTTCCTCTCAGTCTTCCTGTTGTACAGTGAAAGACTTGCCGTATATTTTTGTTTTCTTTCTTCCAGCCTCTACGACTTGACTGTGACTTCTGTGCCATTGTTTCAAACTCGGGACAGATGGCTGGCCAGAAGTTGGGAGCCGAGATAGACAAGTCCTCCTGCATTTGGAGGATGAACAATGCTCCCACAAAGGGCTATGAGGAGGATGTTGGGAAGAGGACAACTGTAAGAGTGGTCTCTCACACAAGCGTGCCTCTCCTTCTCAAGAATCCCGAGTACTTTTTCAAAGAAACCAACAACACTGTTTATGTGATCTGGGGACCTTTCCGAAATATGAGGAAGGATGGAAATGGCATTGTGTACAACATGCTGAAGAAAACCGTTGACAGCTACCCAACTGCCAAAATCTATGTGACAACAGAAAAGCGCATGAGTTACTGTGATGCAGTATTTAAGAAGGAGACAGGAAAAGACCGGTAAGTCCTAACGACCAATTAGTATCCTAAAGAACAATTTTAATGTTTGACAAAAGGTATGTGAGAGAAGTCTGTGCTGGATGCCACCTAGTAAATGAAACACCAGATATGTTTTTAATGGATTGTTATACGGTTTTGACTGTTATAAGCACTTGATGAGGCAGCAGCTAGGCCCCATTTACCCCACCTACGCTACCTTCTGTTCTTTCCATTTCTGTTGGCTTGAGTCCCAAAAATACTGGATGTCTTCCTGAAACATTTTCAAAGCTGTGTGTTGTTTTCAGCTCAATTTACTATTGATTAGATTGACATTTTATTTGAAGAGGATAATCCTACACAAACAACATTTCCAAATGCACAACCTCAGGATAATAACTCTGGATATTGTATTTTATTCTCTGTTGAGATTCACTGTAGCTTTTCTTCAAACACAAACCTCAGGGTTAGGCATCATTTCTGTTTCTTGGTGAAAATGGATTATCAGCGATACTGTAGTAGATTTAGGTTTTTACCAGAATTATACTGAAATTCTATTTTCCATGCCTGAGAATGTGTGTTTATGCTGCATGAGTGGGGGCTGTAAGGAGAAGAAAGTGTGAGGACCACTGTTTTGGCTACTATGTTCAAAGCAGAAATTGGATTTGTGAAATTAAGTCCACAAATTGCAGGATTTTATAACCAAGCTGCAAAAAATTCTGATCCTCTGTGTTTTGGCGTGGAAGAGCACCTGCCGCAGATTCACTGGAACTTAAGTAGGAAGGAGTTTCTAGATTACTGCTGTGCCTTAGTAATAATTTTGGAAATAGCATATCATGAATTTGCTGTTCTGAAAGACTGTGGCTATTCTAATCAAACTAAAACGACAGATATTTCTGTATTTCTATATTTCTATATTCACCAGCAGTTTAACTGGGTCCAAACTTTTGACTTAGCTTTGGAAGTAGAAGAGTTTATTCTCTCTTCTTAGATTCACTTTGTTATTGAACTGTCAGAACCTGGTTAGAATTGATTTTTCCATTTCTAAAACTATTGAAACATAGGTAAGAACTTAGCCTGGAGGTGGTTCACCATGTGTATATGTTGTTGCTGTGATTCTGGAGTTGGAGTGAGCACCTGTGTGTCATAAAGATGCCAAGGTTATCGTGGCTTCTTTAGTTTCACTGAACAAGCTGATGAGCAGAGGCTAATAGAAAAAATACATAAGATCCATTCTTCAGAAAATGCTTTCTAATAATCCAGGTCACCTGCTTTACATATTAATCAAGCTAAATGTGATCATGGGTACGTTATAGAATTGCTAAACATAAATTTGCTTATATTTATGACTCTTCCATGTCAGGTCACAGTGACTTTACAATACTTTATCTAAATCCTTATTGTGAGGCCAGGCCTTAGTATATCCTACCAAAAATCTCACAATCCAATGTTAAAGCATCCTCATCTCCAGACTAATCCATTCCTGTTCAACAAATTAACACATCTCAAGGTTTTGTTATTATGCAATTAACACAATACAAATGCTTCTTTTCATGTCAAAGGCATACTGTACTTCTGTTCTCCCAGTGCTTATGAGCACAGTTCTCAAGCAGCCTATTGTCAAAGTGGCCAAAGTTCTTTCTCCTTTATCCATTACAACTATGTTTCACATTGAGAACAACAGCAAATTTCCTGCCTCATGACCCACATCACATTACGTTTGCACATACCTCCCTTTAACACTGTGAAAAAAAACCCTATCATTTCTCACAGTGGCAATCAGATAACATCTTCGTATCTACTGCAAGTCTCATTTTTAGTCCTACTTTTTGATGTCAAATATTAAGTGATGGTTTTAACATCATTTAGTGCTCTTGTCAGCCAGAAACAAGGGAAAGAATTTATGTCACCAGCCAACACCCTCTCTATCACAAGAAAACATCCTGCAGTTCCCTACTAATCAGGGGACCTCAGTTTGGAAACTTTCATTTTCTGTAACATTTTCAATTCACAAGACCCACCTGCTGTTTCTAGGGAGAGTCATGGAGCTGTGATAGGTATGTGGCATTTGTGGAGGCAGTAAAGAGAGAGCACGAGAGATTTGTGGGTGATGAAAATAGTTTCACGTGCTGTGCCAGACTATTATGATGCTCAGACAGACTCAGATTCCTCAGCCAAATATTCCTGCAGTTCCTCAGAGAAGCATCAACTTTTGCTTGCAATATTAGATTGAACAGGGATCTGTTTCAACATGTTTCCAGCAAAAATTCTGGAAGGAAACCAAGTTCAATTCATTTTAAAACATACTGAGTGGATCGTAACCACATCTATTTTAATTTAATCTTAGAAAACCGTCCTTATGTACAATGTATGCTACTAATGTATAGTAAAATTGCAACAGATTTCCAGTCTGTCAAGCCTTTAATGATCTTTCTATTTGTACTTTGTGATGTACCACCCTTTTTGGTAATTAGTGGGATTTCTGAGTATTTCCATCCTAGCAGTACTCAAGTTTTAAGGTTGTTAAGCAGCTAACAGGTATGTGCCACAGTCAATTCTCTACTTCAGAAAAGCTCTGGTCCTGCATCACTGATGTAGGAGCTTCATCCCTGAGTTCACTGAGTGCAGGTTCAAAAAGCACAGCTTGCATATTGACAGATGATTTATCATTGGCTCATGGAAGAAGCAAGAACTGCCTTTAAATAGCTTCCAAAAAACAAGTTTGTTTATTTTGCAGTTGTTCGATTCTACCATTTTTTAATTCTACAGCAGTACAATGTGACGTGGTCTATCCACGTTGGAGAATGAACCTTGCATGCGGTGTTATGTATCTGGGGGACATATGTTCTTTCTGAGAGTCTTCATTAATGAAGCATTTAAGTTCAAGGTGGTGAATGCTCATCCTCTTTGAATAATTGTTATACATGAATAATAGTCATTACCAGGCATTCACAATTTTTCATTAATGCATTTTACTTGGTATTTCCCTAGAGGGAGCATAAACCTGGCAGCATCTTCCTGTACTTCAGTAATGTTTTGGTATACGTATTGAGTCAAGTGAAAGGATTTGAGGAAACATTAGGTAATTACTAAATGTGGCATCTTTGTATGTACCCCAATCCAGATAAGTGGCTCTGAAACCATGTATATCTTTGCATGCATTAGAAATGCAATATGATACAACAACATTTAATTGGTAATATCAGGGAAAACTGTAGTCTTCATTAAAGCAGCAGAGCTAATTCTGCTCTGATAAAGTGCACTGAACAGCCCTAAATAGTTTTTAATTAGCTGGCACCAAAGCTGCACCACCCTTAGGGAGGGTAAAATTAATGAAAACTAGCAGCAAATAGATCAATGCTACTGGATGTTATTGCCTTAGGTGAAGGTGATGAGGAAGAAAGGAGTGTCTTTTAAGGATCATTTAGAAAACAGTCTGCATTAAGTCTCTTTCAAAATGATAAAGAGCAGTGATAAAATAAATCTGTGCTAATATCAGTAAAAGAGCCTAATGCCATCCAGAGTGCAGACTCCAGTTGTGTTTATACTACAAATATCTCAGGCTATCCACTCAGCACTGGATGTTCCAGCAGTGCCTCTGACACAACTCCATACCTTTTTGGAGCTGGTGGTGTGATCAGATACTCCTGTCCCACTGCACACAGAGGACGGTGAGCCCCAGCAAACAGCCAGTAACACATGTGCTGATACTGCTCAAAGCATGGATTAACTACCAAAAAGAGCCTGCTGAGCTTTGCGAGGAGATGTATTCCCAGCTCCTAGAATTCCCATTTAGAGACATGAGATAATGCTCTGCAAAGCAGCCAGTTTGGTAGACAATTGACTTTCTACACAGGCTGTCTTAACTCTAACAATACACATCCTATACCCAAACAATTCAATTCAACCACATTTTATCAAGATTTTTAGCCATACAAGCATGTCTACAAGAGACAGGTTCACTGAGCCATATTTACAGTCAGAGGCTGGTTTTGAAGAATTTTTGTTAATACCTTGGATCATCCCAAAGAAACTAAATTGCTTTTGTGCTCTGCTTCCATAAGTTCTTGGTTTCCTCTGTTCATGTCAGATGGTGCTATGTGCTGGGTTATTAGAAAGCTGTGTTATCATTCAAGGCAGAAAGATGGATAGTTCTGATCACTGACTTCTGCATTCAAAACTTGGGGGTGTGCTCAACCTGCTATTTTACTTAGTTCTGCTCACTAATTATACATTATGTCGGTGCTACACAAGATCTATATTATATCTCTGTCATTTAGAGCTATCAAATTATATTCATCTAAAGTTCAGATTGACACTGTTAGACAACTGCAGTCATCACAGCTTCACCTCAGCTAATATGTGATTTTTGATGTGTCTGACTAATCTACATGAAGCTTTAGTAAGTCATTGAAATGAATAAATGAAATTACATTCCCTGAGGCTCAAGTAGCTGCAACTTCTACTATTTGGTGATATTCTCTGTGAATTGCGGTAGTAAAGCTGTCAGTGGTCGGCATGTCAGAGTTTTATGCCATATTTCTGATTGTTAACTTGAATGATATAGTAATGAGATTTTCACTTTTGCACTTCCTTACATATACATATTAGTTTCCTTATCAAGGCAATTCAGAGAAAATATAAAATCTTAGCTAGTGTTAGGTAATATTTGCAGAAAGCAGCTTTTCACTGGGAAGCAGTGAACACTGACACTGAATCTGCCTCAGATTTTGGGACTTGGACAGTATTTCCCATCAGTGCTTTGTATCAACATGCTTTTTTTTTTTTAAAAAAAAAAAAAGAAGTATATAATAAATATTTAAACTCTGGAAGATGAGTGAAAGTTTATTTCATTTTGAAAGGAACATGAGCAGAGTTGAGGGAAAATCAGCATCTTTAAATTACAGAACTTTTGGAAGAAGACAATGGAAAAACTGATTCAGAATGATCTATAATGCCTTGTTAAAGACGTCAAAACACTGTTAAGGTCAAAAACGAGTTGTAGTTTACATTTTGATCTAGCT